AACAGATTTGAGCATGCTCCTTTGCCTTTTTGTTTTGCTTCTAAGAATCATTCAGTTACTAATAAGTAAAGTTGGAAGAAGTCATTGGATATCTACTGAAGTTGATCAGGAAGTAATTTTGAGTATGGGTTCAGACCTTTGGGTAGGCATCTGACTACAGATATGCAATTGTAATGTAATAGTAGGTTGATATCCTGAAGAAGGAATACTTTCTCTGGAAAATAACTTGTTCAGTAATTTTTCTTTTCAAAGTAAGTCATCAAAATGGAAGTTACTCAGTATGGGTAAAAATGCCTCCAACTGGGAAAGGATAAAAATGCAGCGGAGAGGTCTTCAAAGGAGACACAATCTAAACTTGCTGCCTAGGCCTGATATAGGAGAGAGGTGTACAAAATCAATATTAAGAGTCTGCTTCTCTGTTTTGTTATTCACAACACTAACATGTTTTCAGAATTTGTCAATTTCCAGATGTGTTTCTAGGTGCTGAGTATGTATATTTAAAGAAAATAATGTCATCATCTTTGTAGAGCTTTATATGCAGTGGGGAGAAAAACAGTTGTAAGCCATTTGATGTTTGTGCATCACTGGGTGGAAAACTTGAATCTGTAGAAATCTATTGATTCATATGAATCATTCTCACTTGAGTACATTAAAAGTTGCATCCATTTATATCCTTGTCTGATCTTTTGATCCATAGACACATTGTTCTTCTGGGAATTTTTTGGGTTTCTTATGAAAGTATCATCCAATGGACCTTTCTTTCTCTATTGTGACCTTCTCAATACCTCAGCTTTGAGTCACTCTTGCAAATCATTTTCCTCCTTTTGTGCAGGAGGGGTGCACTGAATTCACACAATGTACACAGATTGCTATTCCTACTACACCAGGGTCTTATGTGCTGCTGAGGTAATCCTTATGTGCTCTTTGTCAACCTTTGAAGGCCATCCCCCAGATCCTGTAAGCTTTTGCTGTCTTCTTCATAAAATTCTGTTTGTATTCCTGTCACATTCTTATCAAATTTATCTGACAATATACTTTTCTTATATCATTGTTTCCATCATATATAAACAACATAATTTTCCCCATATCTTGTCACTTTATGTTTTTCTAAATTTCAAATGTATTTCAACTGAAATGTACTGACATAGTGTACATATTAATTGAGTAAATTCACGTGCTGATGTATGTATGCATTGCATTTCTTTGTCTTTTCAACTTTTAATTTCTTTTTGGTGAAAGCTTCCAATACACTTTCTTCTAGCTTTTTGAAATGTAGTTTATTATTGTTTTATATAGTCATCCTCCTGTGCCATGGTGCACCAGAACTTCTTGTTCCTACTTAAGTAAAACCCATTATTCATTGATCAAGCTGTTGCCTTCCATTCCCATTCCCTACACTCTCTAGTCTATGGTAACCACAATTCTACTCCTAACCTCTATAAGGACAACTCTTTTATATTTTACATACAATGAGATTATAAGATACTTGTCTTTCTTTGCCTGACTTATTTCATTTAACCTAATTATCACCTGACCCATGCATATTATGTCAAATGAAAGTATTTCATTCATTTTATGGTTAAATACTATTCCATTGTATTTCATTTATTTATCCATTTATCAGCTGATGGGCATTTAGATTAGTTCCATTTCTTAGCTACTATGAATAGTGCTGCCATAAACATGGGAGTCCAGATGTCTCTATAACATAGTGATTTCACTTCCTTTTGACATATGCTTAGCATTGATATTGCTGTATCATATAGCAATTTGTGGGCACTGGATGTTTGATAATGTCTTTGTACCTCCCTTATTTCTAATGGATAGATTTTCTGGATTCAATATTCAGTATTCTTGATTGGCAGGTTTTTCTTAGGTTCTATGAAAACCTCATGGCACTGACTTCTGACCTATATATTTACTGTTGAGAAGTCTGTCATCACGTGAATTGGGACATGCTTATATATGTTATTTCTTATTTTGTTTCCTTGATGCCTGATATTCTTTATCTTTCATCTTTGAAAGCTGTATTATAATTTATATTGATAAGAATCTGAGGCTCCCAGTCACAACAGCTCAACTAACTTTTCACATTCATGCAAACACTCAACTGTCTCCATGTTATGATGCTGGAGGTTGCGGAGGAATGAGATAGGAGGTGACCACCAATGTTGCAGATGCCCATTTTTCTACCATCACACCCTGAAAACACAGCCTGCCAAAGCAATACAGAACTTGGGAGGGACCAAGGCCCTAAATACTATGAGCTGCTTACTGGTGAGGTGCACTCAAGGCTCCAGATTCTTGCAATCAGCCACAGGTGCTGCAGGTACTTCTTGAGTCTGTCTCACCAGAACACGGGTCTTGCTCTGTCATAACCCTTCTACATTTGAGACCTCTAATTCTTACTTGGTACTAGGTATGATCATGGTGGGTCTGGCACTGAATTCCAAGACAAAGTCCTATGCCAGCACTAGGCCTGATCCTTAGACTCTTACTTTCTCCTCTTCTGCTAGAGGTTGGAATAGTTGTAGTGGAGGCAGTCTCTTTGCTACCCAACTAAACACAGTTCCAGAGTCTCAGTGTGAGGTTACTGGCATGGGGACAGTATTGTTGGGATATGTTGGGCACCAAGTTTCACTATGGCAGGCCTAGTCCTGGGTTTCAAGTAAAAGGTCTGGGTTTAATTCCCTTTCCATTTCCCAAGAATGCATTTCCCTTCATGCTGGGCTGCTTGAGGTTGGGAAATGGGCAAGTCTTATCTTCCTTCCTCCTTCAATGTGTCTTTTCTTTTTATCATAGTAAAATCAGGCGCTCACCTTGTTTATTGTCTGTTATGAAGCCAGTTTAGTGTGTGAGTAACAATTAATATGGTGTATTTGTGGGAGATCATTAAACAACCCTTCTGGTTCTAATCCTAAACTATTTAACATCTTACTATAATACACATGCATTAATATTTTATTACATCCAACATTAACAGAGCTAAATTCATCTCACAAGTATAAATTTATTGCTTTGAAAAAGAAATGTAGAGGGAATCTATTGTAGTGATGATGGAAGGAATATCTGTGACTCAGAGCATTTCACTCAAAGTTCTCTGGCCCTTCCTGCCAATGAGTTGATAATTCTGATGTCTGAATCTGGAAAGAGGAATTGCAAGTTTTCAGTAATCCATAAATTCACCTGTGATATGTTTAATCCAATCCATGTGCCTATACACCTACTAACCAGTGCAAAACTATCTCTAGCTCTACATAAATAAATATTGAATTCAAATGAAAAAAAAATCCCCATTCTTGTCTTTTTTTTTTTGTAAAGAGGATGTGCATGGTAATTTATAGGTAACCCTACAAATAGTAAATCATAGAACCAGAATTATAAAGATGATTTTATGTGGAATGATTATATAAAGTAACCTTATCTCATCAAGTATGACTGCAGAGAATAGAAAGGACACTATCTGAGATTTACAAGAAAGAATTCAATAAAATTCATCCTATACTGCTTTTTTGAGCAATCAGCATTCATGGGGACCTCTTAATCCTCCATGGCTCATCATCTGTCCCTTATTTCCCCAAGATCAGATAAACACTTTTTGTCTCTTCAATTCTCCTATGCTGTGGAGAATGCACAGACCCTACCTGAGCAGATGACACCTGCATCCTCATTGTGCGCACAGTTATGCTGTCCCCAGCCTTGAGCTGGGCACTTCCACACTTGGTCCTCCTCTCCTGTGCACTTCAGCTCGTCCAGCCAGATGGGTCCTGATCCCTCCCCAAATTGTGCATAGCCCATGGCATCA